CGGATTGTGGTGCGATTAAAAAAAAAAAAAAAAAAAAAAAAGATAAATCTTCCAGTGGAGGATTCTGGTGTATTTCTTGTTTAAAGCCCTTTTATTCCATGGATCCTGCTTGCTGGCCTTTTTCTCTGCATTTTAATTTTTTAAAAAAATTTTTTGTAGACATGTTTTAATGTATTTCATTTCACCTCTGGGACTACAGCGTTTCACTCTAAGTCCTGACCTTTGACTCACCTTTCATTATTTCATTATTTCAAGCCAGATCCTGCCACTCTCATTCTCAACAAAGCTTGATCTCCTTGGTTAGAGGATATGAACAAAATTCTACCACTTCCTTACTGGTTGAATTTGTGGGAGATGTTTCACCACAAAACTCCCTGGAGATGCAGTAACCCTCCAGAAATTAAGCAGTCATAAGTGGAGGGTGTTGATTCCTCTTGAATTTCTCCTGCTGCACACAGATTATTTTTTTTATTTGGGAAAAATGAAAATTGCCTCATTTTTTTTTTAAATATTCAACACTAAGACTGAATGATGACAGTGAAAAATGTTATCATCTTGTTTCTTTCAAAGAAAGAGAAATATAGGGAATAACTCCCTTGCTTGTCAGAAACAGCTACAAGAAGGGAGATTTTTTGGTTTTTTGTTCACCTCCTGACTGGTGAGCAAAATTCTGTTTATTCAGAGGAGAAGCACCTCTGAACAAATTACCTCTTTGACTATTCCTGCATGAAAATTCCCATAGAAAAATTCAATATATAAAATTTTTGAGAATTTATTTCTTCTCAGTGGGGCTGCAAGGTGTGAGATGGGATCATGAAATTTTTAGGAAGTCTGTGAAGGTGCTTCTGAAGATGGTCAAGTTACTGTGACTTAAAAGAAAAATCCACCTTTTATGGCAGGTGACACAAAGAGGGTCTGGGACATGAACAGTCTCTGTATTCTGTATTTCTACAGTATCTAGAACAATATTATAAAATATTAGGTGCTTCTCCAAGGTGCAAAATGTGCCAATGGTAAAGTCTCTACTCCTTAGGGACCTTGTTTTCTGTGCTGGTAATTCTCTTCATGGGAAGCCCCATCCTTGGGTGGCAAGACAGGAACAACAACTTCTGGTTCCTACATTTTGCAAGAATTCAGCTCTGCTGCCTTTGCTTTACCCCCTTGCTGTGTTCAGTGAACACTAACAGCGACCAAATGGGGTTTCTGATGTTTCCTCCTTTCTCTCCCACTCTACCTCTCTTGCCCAGATGTTCTGCTCATTATTTCTTTATTCTTCACAGCAGTTTCCTCTCCTTCTGCTGCTGGGCCATGCCTTTAATGCTTCAGAGGCAATGATTGCCTTGAGATTTTCTGTTTGGTTTATTTTTTTTTTCCATTAGTTTTATGACGGATTCTTCCTCTTAAATGCTTTAAATTCTTTAGAAAACTTTATATGAGAAGAAATAGGGGGCATGTACTGACCCTATGTGTCCATTCCCGTTCAGTCATCACTAACAGCCTGAATGGAAAAGAGAATTTGAAGGAAATGAAATCTCAGCAGGACCCAGAATCTGACTCCCTTGCTCTGGAGGAGGAATTAAACTGATAAAGGGGAGTAATGAAAGCCAAAGGCAGACAAGAGAGGAAGGAGAGCAGTGATTACTTCATACTCAACTTCCCCAGGCAGTAGTGCCAGGCTATTTCTTATATCAGGGTTTCCAATTTCCTTTGTTTGAGTTTTTATCCCTTTCCTACTGTGGAGCTGCCCCAGTTTGTGCTGGACCCTCTTCTAGCTCTCACCAGCCCTCCAGGTATTTTCTGCCAGATCAGAATTGATAAATCTCACTGCTGATCCACATGGACCCTTTTTTATTTATATTTCTCCCATCCAGACACTTCTGACCTGTTCCCAACCCTGGGGCTAGGAAAGACTGACACAGGAGTTACTCAGAATTAATGACAGTTTCCTGGGCTAGGTGCATTTAGCAGGGGATTTATCTAATTAGATGTTGATACCTGCAATTGCATCTGCACTACCAATGAGCAAGTCACCTTCCTCAGTTTGTAGCTCTGGATGTCTACCAAGCAGAGCCTGAGACATAATTTATTTCATCCTCAACAGAGGTTAGATGATGTCTGTTTTTTCTCTCTGGACACATGGAATAAAGGCTGACCGTGTCAGCCCTAAATAATCACATTTAGGTGTCTACATTTGATCAGAAATATCCCACCTTTAGCTTCTGTCTTTGTTATATTGAGTAGGTCATGCTGGAGGTCTGGATTACCCCAAAAAGTCTGCATTGTGATGGAAAGAACGCTGCTGATGAAATGGAGAACCATAGATTGCTATAAAGTACTTTTCCCAGCCTTTTCCCTGTCTTGCTTTCCACTGTTGGAACCAGATATTCCAGATTTGTCCCTTGAGTGTGGCTCCCTCTCAAATAATGGGAGAGTTCCTTGAGTGATTTGCAGATTTGTGTTTAAAATTTAGTGTTCAAAGTGCTTAAAACGCTCTAACCTGGAGTAAGCCAAGGTGTGACAAAAGTGAACTCAGCACAAGAATTTGAATAGAAGTGATGAGGCCTCGTTGGTGATTATGTGGTTCATGACTCACTGTCAAACCAATCTTTAACTTCAGAACTCCATCATCTGTTGTTTTCCAGTCCCAGTCCTCCTGTCCTTCCTCTGAAAAATGTGGAGAGGAAGCAACATTCCCAGACATGTCAAAGAATTGAAAGGAAGTAAG